GGGGCCGGGGAGGCCTTGCGCGGGGCTTCCTTGCACTCCCGCCGGCCTTGCAGGTCCACTGTCAGGCCCCTCATGGGGCTCGGCAGTGGAGCTGCAAGGCCGGCACCGGCGGCCGGGACCGTTGGGGGCGGGGTGTGTGGCCTTATGACACATTTCCGGTGATGTCAGGAGGTGTGGCATATGCTAATGAGTTATGCTAATGAGTTCCCCTAGCTCTTTTTCTACGAAATGACCCCTGGCTATTTGTAGGAACATGTCATTGAACCCTGGTATTCTGGTCTTGTTTTATTATCCTCTATACTGTAGGGCTCAGATAGGGAACAAACCACAATTGGATGCATTCTCTCGTCCAGAAGTGCTTTCATCTTCTCAGCCGTACACAGGCCAGATTTTTCAGCCAGCGCACTCTTCTGAATTTCCATCTGATAACACTTATCCTGACAGCTTTGATGAAGAACCTCCTTTGCTAGAAGGTACAAAATTAAAACACTTAATTACCCCCCCTTTTTTTTGCATGTTCCAGCAGTTATGCATAAAGCAGAATTTGTTCATATTCATCACAGATTTCTGTGGCATCTGGAAAGTGATTTATTTGGCCCATATATGAAATGCAATGTGTGAGGGTAAAGGGCGTTCAATTTAAATAATATGCTGCCAGATATATGCTGTAACAAGAAGTTATTTAAGCCATCTTGAATTTCCAGAGGCAGGTGGAATATAAATTGATTGATTGATTGGGAGGGAGGGAGGGACTAGGAGCCTCTCATTTCCCAGTCTGCCAAGAAGCTCACTTGGATAGCTTTAAGTCAATCACCATCCCTTCACATAACCTACTCACAGTGTTGTTGTGTAGATAAAAGAGAGGCTATGGGAAACTCTCTTGAGTTCCTTGGACAATGGGTGGGCTAAAAATGGAATAATTAAATACATTTTCTGCACTGGTGACCAATGGTCCCTCTAAGCTGTGGAGTCTTGTGAGCAAAGATCCCACTTTGTGAGCGACTGGAATTAGAGCTGCGCGTGAGCGATTTGGCTACTGCATAAATCAGTCTGCTCTGGAGCCGTCCGTCCTGAGCTAAGGCGAAAATGTGTGAGCCGGAGGCTAGAAAACTGTGAGCTAGCTCGCACTAACTCAGCTTAGAGGGGACACTGCTGACCACAGCTTTGCAAAAGCAAAGACTTCCCCCAGGAATGTGCTTCTTTCCTTCTTCCCAACAGGATAAGTCCACATTTCTCCACACAAGAGGTCTGCCCGTTCCCTGGTGGGGTTGGGGATTCCCCACCCCCAGCTCCCGTATCCCACCACTGCCACTCAGAGCAGTGGTGGGAGGCAAATAGAATTTAAAAATGGCCATCAGGCCTGTGGTGTGACATGACTTCCAGGGGAACCCGGAAGTGAGGTCACACCATCACCAATGGTCACCAGTCTGCCCCTGGTTGGCCTGGCAACCCTGCCACACAATGCTATAGAATGGGCCTCTGCAATTTCAGACAACTCCACAGCTTTACTTGTTGGTTCATTTCTATCTGTTTTCCCTTCTACTGGAATTGGAAAGTGGCTTGTAAAGAAACACTGTAGTGTATCCAGCCCTGACATGGCTGGGCATGTCTGGACTTGTCCAGGGACAAACCTCAAATTTCGCCCCTAAAGACAATGGGCCAGGAGGATCATAGCCCGCCCTATCAGAGGGCTAGGTCCCAGACCGTGAGGCCAATAGGTCTCTCAGTCACTATAAATAGCCTATCGGGAAGTGGGGTGTGTGTTGTGGTGGTGGGTCCTGAGGGAATATAAGCCGGCCTGCGAGCCGGCCCAAGCGTCTTGTTCCTGACTGAATAAAGTATGCTTTGCTGAATCACTCTCCGTCTGCATGCTTTTCAAACACAAAATGTAATTAAGACAAAACAACCAGAAACAACATACTCAGTACACCTGGGCTGGTCCTGGATCTAATGCAGTGGCTCATTCAGGGCCTTAGGCTATGGGCCATGACGGTCCTCAGAGGGCTTTGCTTCACGCCAAAAAGGTTCATGCCTCTGTCCACAACCAGGCTGAAATGCCTCCAACAAAAAGAAGAAGAAGAAGAAGAAGAGATTGGATTTATACCCCGCCCTTCACTTGGAGTCTCAGAGCGGCTTACAAACTCCTCTCCCTTCCCCTCCCCACAACAGACACCCTGTGAGGTAGGTGGGGCTGAGAGAAGTCTGACACAAACTGCTCTTTTTCAAGGACAGCTGTGCCAGAGCTTGTGACTGACCCAAGGTCACATCAGCAGGTGCACGTGGAGGAGTGGGGAATCAAACCCCGGTTCTCCCAGATTAGAGTCCGCGCACTTAACCACTACACCAAAGGACAACAGAAACTCAGCCTAGGTCTTACGCAGCTGGCGCACATCCCCTGCTAAAATCTCATCACATACGATTTTAAAAACTAAGACTCTGACCACCCGTTGCGTGGCTCCACTAAATCATGTTCCTTCCGGTTAAAATGTAGATTTGGTCTGAGTTGTGGTTTCGCTCCTCCTAGCCATCCTTGATCTTTTACTGGAAGGCAAGGTATACATCTCTGACGAAATAAATTGAAGCAATCCAACAGTAGGGCCCAGCCTATCCAAAGATAAGGTCCAAAATACGAAGAGATTAGGTCTGCCAGGTCTCCTGCTATGGCAGATGAAAAGTACGCCGATGGAGAGTGATTTCAGCAAAGCGTACTTTATTCGATCAGGAACAAGACAGCTTTGGCCGGCTCGCAGGCCAGCTTATATTCCCCGAGAAACCGCCACCCAAAACACACACACCCCACTTCCCAATAGGTTACTTACAGTGGCCGAGAGTCCCATTGGCTTCTCGGCCAGGAACCTAGCCCGCTGATTGGAGCGGGCTAGGATCCGCATAGTCCATTGTCTCTTGGAGTGAAGCTCGACGGTTGTCTCTGGACTTGTCTGGACTTGTCAGGACTTGATACGCTACAGCAGACCTCCTGCTGGCGGTTGTGTCAGTGGTGCCACTTCAGGGGGGGAAAACCAGAAGTGACACTTAACTAGCTTTATCACTGGTCAATTGGAAAACCATAGAGTTTCCAGAGATTCCTAGAGCCACCCCACGGCACTTCTGGATTTCTCCCCAGTAGTCACATAGCAATGCCGCCAACAGCGCCCCTATGTCCCTGCCTCCAACCCTCCCGCAGGTTGCCAGTCTTGGCCAGCCAACCCTAGAAGTTATAAATCTGTATGAAAAGTCACTTTCTCCTAAACACATCAATTAATAAAAGCCAGACAAAAAGTCCATCAAGGTTACACATGTGCTGTGCCCTGCCTTAAAGCTCCGGTGTTTGAAGATGCCTTGTGTTTACAAATGTATTTATTTGTTTCGTATTACATGTATATATTAATTTCTTCCATCATGAAATTCAAGTCGCCATAAAAGAGGCAGGGTTCCCATGCAGGCACTGACAAGACCCAGCTTTGGGTCTTATTCAGATGTGACGTCACCGCATTGCTGGTGCACATTGCTTGAGCAGCACATTGAGGCTGTGACATCATTTCTGGCAGGGCTTTTTTGGTAGAAAAAGCCCAGCAGGAACTCATTAGCATAATAGGCCACACCCAACAGCAGAAACTCATTGGCATATTAGGCCACACCTCCAACAACACAGTTCATGGCCATATTAGGCCACACTTCCATGTTACCAGAAGTTAGGTCATCCAGCCACACCCACCTTTTGCCTCTTATTCTGTTCACCTTGTTTGTTGTCAAAACCCAGGGCGGTTTTTTTTTTGTAGCAAGAACCCCTTTGCATGTTAGGCCACACACCCCTAATGTAGCCAATCCTAATAAGTTTCTGCTGTTGGGTGTGGCCTATTATGCTAATGAGTTACTGCTGGGCGTGGCCAACTTGGGAGCCAGCCGGAACTCCGTTCCTGTGCGTTCCTGCCCAAAATTAGCCCTGATTTCTGGGTTTATGCCCAAAGTGACATCACACTCATTCCTTTGTCCCTACCCTCTCCCTGTCCTCCTGCTTCCTAGCTAATGACTGGCAACCCTATCAGATGAGTTTATTTCAGCAAAGCTTATCAGAAGAAAAATTGATACGTGAATATCAAATTAATGTATCATGGTGGGAGCGTACATTATTGCGAGATAGGTACGGTAAAGATGTTAAAAGGTTTTGAAGATAGCAACACTCAACTCGATAAGATTTGGCTATCATCCAGTGACAAGTTAATTCAGAAACTTTATAGATTTTTATTAGAAGATTATGAACTGGATGAAAACAACAAATCGGCCATGATTTCTTGGATGCAGGATATGGGAAAAGAGCTTGAAATTGAACAATGGGATACAATATGGAAAACTGCAAAATTCATGAGAGCCATCTCTTATAAAGAAAATATTTATAAAATGTTCCATAGATGGTAATGGTCCCCAGATAAAATTGCAAAATGTTATCCACAAACATCCAATAAATGTTGGAAATGTAAATCTAATGTGGGGACCTTTTACCACATGTGGTGGAATTGTAGTAAAATGCAAAAATATTGGAAAATGGTACATGATGTTATTTTAGAGATACTAAACTTAGATGTTCTGTTAGCGCCTGAAATTTATCTGTTGAATATAATTCCAAAAGGCTATGTCAAACAAGATGTATATTAGTATATATCATAACAGCTGCGAGAATACTAGTGGCTAAAAATTGGAAAACAGACAAAACTCCCTCGAAAGAGGACCTAATAGCTAAACTCATGGAGGTTTTTTAAAATTATTATTTACTTAAAATTTAAAAGAACAGTTAAAAATAGGAAAGCAAATCCTGATGTTTATGCAGAGCAAACAAAACTTATGGAGTTAGCGCAAATGGATAATTTGAGTTTAATACTGCAGGATAAAGACCAAAAAATACAGAATGAAAGATGGTTAAGGGTTTACAACTGGATAAAACATGTAAAAGTAGAATAAGAAAAGGAAATGTGGAAAGAACTACAGTGGACATAAGGCATGTAACTTGATGCCATGACTCTAAAAATGTGTGTAGTCTGAGATAATGAAATGTTTGTAACTAAATTGAAACTACGAAAAATAAACAGGGAAGGGGAGAAAAAATGAGTTTACTTGAGCAAAGCTTATATCAGCCAGACTACAGGACCAGGGTTTGTTCAAGGTATTTGATCACCCCAAGCATCATCTCCTAGGCCCAGAGCGCTGCCTTCTGGTACTGCTACGGGCACAGAAAGGGATGCCAGTCCCTCCTGCACCACTGATGGCTGGGAGCAAACTAATCCCTGTGTTTCATGAGGGCCCTCTTGACTGTGCTACCCCCAGCAGACACGTGGGTAGGTTGCCTCTGTGTGGGTCAGTCTTAGCACAGTCCAAATTCTAAGTAAAACTATGCTAAAAAACTCATGTTCAATCCTAGTCTGCCAAATCAGAGAAAGAAGGTGAGGGATAAAGCTTGATTTGTTGTTTTGCATTTGTAACGCAGACACATGTTTACGTTCGAAAGGGCAGCACCACAATTTGCATGGAAAATAAAGGCATTAAGTCATTTTTATGGCATATGCATCATATACTTTACTGCCTCTGGGTGACAGTATCACGATAAATTTTGCATTCAGATTTCATAGCGTTGCCTTTCCCCCTGTATTTATATTGCATAATCAGATATCACGTTAAGGTGCCTATAATTAATAAACACTTGTTATAATCTTGTTTACATATCTTGTAATAAATTTGCCAGTTTCTTAAAAAAGAAAAGAATATTAAGGTGGCTTATTCTAATTCTGAAGAGAAAACTCAAGAACGTTCCTGGGAGTTGCGTTGGGTCTATATTTCTGCAGTGGCATTGGACCAGACTATGTTAGATTTTTTAAAAAAATTGTTTAAAACCCTGTCTGTGAAACCCCTCGTTGAAATAAACTTCAGCCTCAGCATATTATATAAATGCCAGCAAGGTTTATGTCTTCACAAGATCCTGCTGACATAAATAAAAACAACAAGGGGAGAACTCTACCTGCCCTTCTCCCTTCCTCAGGACCGGCGTCAAGATACTTGAGATGGGGCCGCTTCCCAGTTCCAGGGCTTCCAGTGGGGCCAGCTGCCACCACCTCCCCTATTGCCCTCCTCAGGGGTCATTTCGTAGAAAAAGAGCTAGGGGGACTCATTAGCATAACTCATTAGCATATGCCACACCCCCTGACATCACCGGAAGTGTGTCCTCCCCACAGCCGGCGGCGACCTCCAGCGGGCACCAGCAGGGAGCTCCAGGCCCCGCCCTCCCGCACCTCACCCGGGGGGATGGCGTCCCCCCGCTTCCCCCCAAAATGACCCCTGGCCCTCCTGTGCACCCTTTCCCCACCCATGTTGCGGAGCTGCAGGTCTCCTGCCACTTATGCACCTGGCAGCACATTTTTAAAATTTATTATTTATTTCTTTAAGTTGGATTTACTTGCCCGCCCTTCCTGACAAGTAGGGCTCAGGGTGGCTTACAACAAAATAACATGCAATAAGTAATTTCAATTAAAACCAACAGTAAGGTCTCCCTTGCTTGGAAGCCAGTTGAATCCGATTCTAGGGGATGATGCTCATCTCTGTTTCGAAGCCGAAGAGCCAGCCCTGTTCGAAGACTTCTATGTGGTCATGTGGCCGGAATGACTAAATGCTGAGGTGCACGGAACGCTGTTACCTTCCTGTCAAAGTGGTACCTGTTTATCTACTTGAAAGTTCTTGCTTTCGATCTGCTAGGTTGGCAGGAGCTGGGGCCAGAGACGGGAGCTCACCCCCATCATGTGGCACTCGGGTCTTGAACTGCTGAACTACAGACCTTCCAGTCTGCATCTGAGCTACCATGCCCCCCCAAAAAACAGTAAAACTACCTAAAAACAGACCAATAAATATTAAGGTGCTTCTGTCATGTACACATGAGGGCCGCCCCCAATCCCATTCTCCCTCCCAGGCAGCAGGAAAAAAAAAAGCAGGAATTTGCCATCTCTGCAGCCAGAAGAGGCTCTCTTTTCCTTGTGAAACCACTAGAGGGCACCCCCGCCCATGGGTATGATCTAGGTTTAGGGTCAGCAACTACCCAGGAAGAAGAAGAAGAAGAGATTGGATTTATACCCCGCCCTTCACTACCCAAAGGTGTCTCAGAGCAGTTTACAAACTCCTTTCCCTTCCCCTCCCCACAACAGACACCCTGTGAGGTAGGTGGGGCTGAGAGAGCTCTGTCAGAAACTGCTCTTTTTTTCAAAAACAGCTCTTATCAGAACTACGGCTTTCCCAAGGTCATCCAGCCAGGTGCAAGTGGAGGAGTGGGGAATCAAACCCGGCTCTCCCAGATTAGAGTCCGCGCACTTAACCACTACACCAAACTGGCTCTGTTTGGAGAAAAACATCCTCCCTCTTGGTTTAATGAATGGAAACGGGCAGCTGAAGTTTTCCTTGACGTGGAAGTAAATAGCATCTCCCGCCATGTCCTGCAGATGAAACTGATGGTAACGGGACAGCAAGAGGAGCCAGCTTAGAAGCTGGCAAGCCTCCCCAAGTTCCATTTTTTTTCTTCAGTAGGGTGGGGAGTGAGCCCAGGCAGGACTATTTTCACATGGCCATGAGTGCAGGGCACTGAGTGGGTGAATAAATAAATCACAGGAAAGCTGAGAAACCAGGGGGTTGGATCCAGAATAAAATTTCCTGTAAAAGAAGGCACTTCTGTCAATGGAACGCAGCTTTCCTAGAAGGAGGACGAGATTGGATTTTTACCCCCGCCCTTCACTCAGAGTCTCAGAGCACCTTACAAACTCCTTTCCCTTCCCCTCCCACAACAGACACCCTGTGAGGTAGGTGGGGCTGAGAGAGCTCTGACAGGAAATTCTCTTTTTCAAGAATAGCTCTTGTCAGATCTATGGCTTGCTCAAGGTCATCCAGCAGGTGCAAGTGGAGGAGTGGGGAATCAAACCCGGTTCTCCCAGATTAGAGTCCACACAATTAACCACTACACCAAACTGTCACTACACCAGTCCTACCTCTCCCCCTTGCACTGATCTCCCCGAAATGCTGCTTCTGAGGGGCAGAGAAGCCCCAGGAATGCAATCAAGCCGGGGGTCTACAGCAGGAAGGGGGAATTGCCATCAATGACCTCCCTCCTTCCATTAGTTTGGATCCAGCCTAGGATATTTTCACCACTCATAGCCGGCCTATTGAATTTGGGTTGCGTTGCGCCTTGAGCAGGCCGGCAGCGCTCGATCCCAACTTCCTATTCTGATGTCGAAGCCAGAGATGACTCCGTTGGTTCCTTGAGAACCTGAAGGTAGATACATGACCGCCATTTTTTTTTGCTTGTCCTTTTCCGACCTGGCCGTCAGCTTGCAAGAAGAAAGCAGCATCTTGTGCGACAAAAATGCTAAAGGCAGATCACGAACAGCTTGAATAAAGGCCGTTCCAACCAACTCCATAGGCAGCCCTCAGAATCCATCGGTACAGGTCCTTATTGGAGCCAGGCTGATTTCATATGTATTTTGTAACAGGTAAAGAAAACAACAGCGTGCCTCTTGAATATCGTCAGTGTTTTCAAAGTTATTTCTCCCATTACTGGGAGTTTGTTTTATAAGTATTAACATTAAAAAAAAAAAATGCAGTGAAGACCACATGGAGTCACTGTTGACATCTGGTTTGTATCGTTTCTCCTTTTCATAACAGAGTAATCAATACTTCCCAATTTAGAATCCAAATTAAGTCTTGGCTCCGGCACATGAGTCATTAGGGTAATTTGCTTACAGCCAATTCTCTGTTTTATTATTTTGGGACTAAAAGTTTCCCTGATGAACTGTTACAGCAAGATTTTTCTTTTAGGAGAATGAACGATTTCAAAACTTTTCTCCCCCCCCCCACTGCAGAACTAGGGATCAACTTCGATCACATCTGGCAAAAAACTTTAACAGTCCTCAACCCAATGAAGCCAGCAGATGGCAGCATTATGAATGAGACGGACTTGACCGGGCCGATGGTTTTCTGCTTGGCCCTTGGAGCCACCCTTCTGCTGGTATAGTGCCATAGAAACAGTAGGCATTCTAATCATAACTTTTTTCCGTGGGTCAGTTGTCTGTGGGATTGCAAAAGGTGCTGTATAGGGAAAGGACCTAATTACATGGGATTTCAGGAAATTCCACACACACACACACACAGAGAAAGAGAGCAAGAGAAAAATGAGCAAATAATGTAAACCCAAAACAGCTCTGCTGAAGCTGATGGAGAGGGGACCATCATGTGATACTGAAGAAATAGAGCAGAATGAAAACTTAAAGTGCCTTACTCTTGTCCAACTTTTGTGAATCACATCTATGCAAAATCAGACGCTGACTAATATTGGCTATAACGTCTCCTA